GAAACACTTTGCTATTTATCAGCTTGAAGTTGATAAAGGTAGATAAACCACCACACTGAGTTAACGAAGATAACCGCTTCCTTCGTAAGCCCTTAGTCAGAGCAAAGTCGAAACACGACTTAGAACGGTTTTCAATTGAGTGTCGTGAAACCAAAACCAAAGTAATCACTCTAGCCAATCACAAAGGACGCAGATAATCCAGTGAACCAATCAAAACTCCAAGTAATAACATGCAGCTGACTCAAAGCGCAGGAAAACGTTTGCGAGTGAATCCCGATTCGTTTTGGTTTTACTACTGATATGGATTATAAAGTGGCGCGAGTTTTTTAAACCAATAGGGTGGCGTAGTAAGTGCAATACCAATTACCTTTCGACACTCAAACGAAAACTGCTCTATTAATCTTGAATGCTCGGTCTTTATGGGGAAATCTCAGGTGTGACCGTATTTAAGGATGAAGCAATTGAAAATTGATACCCTATTTAAGCCCCAAACCCGAAAAATTACGCCCTATTCAAGGGAAAAACAAAAACTAAGAATAGCGTGAACGGGTCAACTTTATTTCGTTTCTGTCACGCATTGGAAGTTGTCGAAGTTAACGAATAGTTTAGATTTAATAGATCATTTGTTTTCAATTTAGCTGGGCTTTCACGCTCTTCAATGTTAGCTGATACAATAAAGGTACTAAGGATCCCACCGGGAACATAATGCCAACAGGGGCAAAAATAAGACCCCATTTAACAATTACATTATGAGCTCGAGAGATGTTCATCACTAAATTTTCTCCGATTCCGTATTGGTTTAAATTGATCACGTGATGCGATAGTGTTCGTCCGCGGAGAGACGCTAGCCCATAGTGCCCATCGGCGGAAAATACCCGGATGGATAGTACTCATCCGTGAAAAATTTTCTGTAAACAAGGACAACAAGCGGGTTTGTAGAAAATAAAGAATTGAAATTGTATTAAGTGAGTTTTTGTTGGTTTTCTTTTTAAAATTTTACATCTGGCTGTCACCGCTTTCATCTAAAAATGTTGAAAAGGTCTGAAAATAGTTCAATATGAGTTTGAACTGATTTTTGAAAATTTAGTGGTGAACAATAAAGACAATAGAGTGTTTATGTCTCGGAACTGTCGGTCTGATAGTTGCCCCTTGGATATTTGATGTTCTTAAAACTAGCATATTTGCCCGCGAAACTTCGCTTCTCGGACAAATATTTGTTTTAAGAACATCAAATTTCCGCGAGGCAACTATCAGGCGATAGTTCCTCGACAGAAACACTCTACTGTTTAATGGCTGATAGTATACAAGCAGCTCAGCCAATCAGATTGTAGTATTTGCATTAGTATACTAGTAGAATTCTACTAATTAGAGCTAGATCCCGCGGCACATATACCTGTCGATACATGGGAGTACCCGCCTCCCTCCCTTACCGTATTGACCTCGCTATCGCTCGATTAATGAAAGGTCTTGGTTTGAGAATTTCCTGTAAACAGGTGAAAGACCTATTATAAAGGTAAATAACATGTAACATTTATTGTTCCCCTATTGCGAGACGGGGTCATTGTTCTGGTGTGACATTTTGTTTCCCACAACTCCTGGGAGCTCCGTCCCTTGCTGCATCACGTCACGCAACACTGGCAATCAAGATGTCGCTTCGTAGAGCGCTACATTTCGTCTTCAAGATTGGAAACAGAAATGAAACCGTGAAATTCTATCGTGATATTCTCGGAATGAAGGTGTGTATCATTGACTGCATGATTTTTAGAGCATAGTTTCAAGTTAAGAGAGGTTCTATCCACGGGGGAATTTAAACGTTTCTAAGATTATGTTAGAAAGTTTTTTCCGTGCAGTGTACGTATTGTTTGGCCTTTGTTCTTGCAAGCTAAGCTGTTAGTTGTTACTTGTTCTTGCAAGCTGTTAATACTCTTACAATAAGACCAAAACAGGACGATGTTGAATACCTTTAATTTCTTAATTCTTTTGCTTGCCTTAACATAGTGTTGCAAAACTACTATATAAGATTAAGTTTATATCTTAGATATTGGCCCCTAGATACAATTTGAACATCAAAGAATTCCACGGGCACTCAATTTACATTAATTGCGGCCTTTTCTAAAACTCGATATATTTTTGTACATTATATCGAATATTCTCGCATTTTGATTGGTTCTTAATATGTACTTATGATGAACAGGAGGACAGATGCACAGGTGACATCATTAACATTTTTTTATGATATAAAACAAATAGATTCCATGTTGCCCCTGTGCCTGTTTAGTAATTGATCATGTGACACACTCGGCTGTCACCTCGTTTCCCACTCTTTTGTTCTTACCGCATTATTTTGATGTTACTTGAGATCAGTTACTGAACACTGATGCATGGCAACATGGAATCTATTTGTCAAAAAGGTGTCACCAAGTGTCATTTCCTATACCCAATCTACATATTATTTCACAGTTGTAATATAAATAATTTGTACAATTTATACCTGCAACATTCAAATAATTTGGTATCTTTAAGTATCTGAGTGACCCCACCTCATCTACAATAGATCAATAGATTCAGAAAAGAAAATAAAGAATAAAATGCCAGCTATTGAAAAATTTAAAACTGGAGAGATCAACACCAGCCAACAATCAAACCTGAACTGTTTTTTGAGAGAGGTGTATGCATTGGTCACATGATGCACTGAGGAATGGAAACTTTACAGTAAATAAAACTCCCAGATGTGCTCATACATGTATCAGGCCATTGCATTTGCAATAACTGTATTTAACTTGTGTTCTCCAATTTTTATTGTTGATCCAGTCATTTTTACAATTTAGGAGGGAGCCCTAAAACGTTTTGGCCCTTGGGCCGTAATTTTTTTTTTTTTTTGCCAAGCTGGGAAGCTCTCAGATCCAGCGCGGCTTTTGGTCAAAAACTTAATAAACCTTTTTTATTAGCTCTTATCATTTTGAAACTGAAAGTTTCCCCGTAATTTCCATCACAATATTTATTTAAAAATGAAATTTTAACACTGAACGTGTCTTTGTTGATAGATTTTGCGGCATGAAGAATTTGAAGAAGGATGTAAAGCATCATGCAATGGGTATTTACTTACCTTGGTTTATTCATCAATAAGACAGTTGTTAGTGCTTGCAGAAAATAATTTTGTAGCAAACTATTTCAGTTAGCACTCAAAATGAAATAAACCTGCCCTTAAATCAATTCCTGCTGGCTGCTTAAGTCGCTCAGAGAAAGAGCGAACATATGATTTACTCTTGCAGCAACCAATGAGATGAGACAGATAATCACATTTTGCTCTGTGTTGAATTTCAGTTACTTGTACATGTAGGTAAATAGATATGATTGGGGTGAGCTTCATGCAGGGGTGCCATGTAAAATTGGTTAGATATCAAAGTTTAAAACTTCCTTTCAGACAACTAGTGTATTGTAGTGAATGAGAATTATATGTCTACAGGGAGTACAATATAATATTATTAATATTTGTTAATGAATTAATCTATTACAGTCCTTATGATGGCAAGTGGAGTAAAACAATGGCTGGCTTTGGACCAGAAGATGATCACTTTGTTGTTGAACTGACATATAACTATGGTATTAAAGAATATCAACTAGGAAATGATTTTCAGGTGATCACCCATTTTATTAATTTCATTTCATGACATCTGATACAGAACTTTCCCGAATAAGTGTCTTCAGTATTAAACAAGGTGAGATTAGTGCGCTGGACCCTGCATCAAGCGGTCTGGGTTCAGGGTTATTTCCAATAATGTCCCTATCCAGCCTGGTATGTGAATGGGTATTGGCAAGTTTATATGCTGTGGGTAATGCTGCAGTGGACTAGAATCCCATCCACTGAGTAAGGAGTAAAAGATGAAATACTTCTAGTTGAACATTGAACTTTGATGTTAATAAATATGACAGAGCTTTTCCTTTTGTGTTTCCATTATAATTTGACTAGTCTGATTGGCTGTGTTGATGGTTGCCATGGTAACTTGGTTAAAGCTGCCTTGCATTAGTGATCCCTTAAGAGTGTGGGTCTTACAGCGTATCAGTGACAAGTGAATGAACAAATTGCTCTTGTCTTGTCTTTCTTTCAGGAATATGCATGGCTTTGCACACAGGTGTGCAGGGTTTCTGTTTCTTATGTCAGCAGTATCCTATGCTCAAAATGCATGCAAAGAGCTTTACATGTACCTACATAGCCCTCTATGCTCATGGTAACCGCTGTACTTACTCCATGTCTACATCATGATGCTAAGTAATAATTATATTTCACTGTGTTTTTATTTTCCATAGGGTCTTACAGTGCACTCCAAGACTGCAGTAGCTAATGCAAAACAACACAACTATCCAGTAACAGAGCAAGGAGATGGCTGCATCACTGTCAAAGCCCCTGATGGATACAAGTTTACACTGGTGGACCAGGATGTGACTGGAGGTAACAAACGTTCCTTCGTAACTAATAAATCATTGCTTATGTGAAAAACAATGTCTGGCAGGCATACAATTTACATGGAGAGCTTTTGCATGCCATTTTATGCATTGCAGACCTCACCTACATATGGTACTAATTTACCTTGATTACTAATGCTATGTATAGCTATGGACTTTACTGTACTACTATTACCACTTAACTTTTTTTATTTGCAACTTCCTTGTTGGTTCTGTTTTATTGCATGACCTATCCAAAAAGAAGTATTGAGGTGTGTCCCCTGGATGCCATGTCTGACAACTTCATGTATTTAAATTAGTCAATGGAATGGAACACTCATGGAAATATAGGATTTCTGCAAAGGCCACAAGTTTTTGAAAAAACTCAGAAACTATTGGCCAGACAGGAGTTGTTTGCATCTATCGTAACAAAACAAAACGCTACAAAATTTGCTTGTGGGTGACATTTTCTCTTCCCATCACCACGGTGACTCAACAAGGTGACCTGAAGTTCTTGAAAAATAAGCTGACCAAATAACAAGGAAAGCAGCCTGGCTATGATAATGTGAAACTTGGATACAAAGAAAAACAATCCACAAGTCTAAAAAATGTCAAATAATCTACAGTCTGGATTACTCCACAAATGGAATAATCGTACTGATCACATAAGGTGTGTGCATAGGACATAAACAAAATACGACTCTGCATCACAACTGATATGGGCTCATATTTTGTATGTTCTCTTGGAATAGTGGGATAATAACCTGTAACATATTCTTATTCCAGAGTAAGGTCAATCTGAGTCACCTGTAATATCCTCTACAATGTCGTAATTTTGTTGGGTGTTTTTTTCTCCCAGATCCAGTCAAAAAAGTTTCTCTTGGAGTCTCAGACGTTGCCAAATCTTTAGTGTACTGGCAGAACTTATTAGGCATGACAGTGTATGAGCAGTCAGAGACTGAAGCATTACTGGGCTATGACTCGGATAAGTGTAAACTTGAGCTGATTCATCTTGGATGCCCAGTGGATCATGCAACAGCGTTTGGACGAATTGCTTTCTCGTGTCCCGGCAACCAGTTACCGGCCATTGAACATTCAGTCAAGGAAGCTGGTCACACAATCTTAACACCACTTGTTAGTTTAGACACCCCAGGAAAGGCTACAGTGCAAGTTGTCATCTTAACTGATCCGGTAAGTAGTCAAGTAACTATAGAGCGGTTTTCAATTGAGTGTTTTAAAACCAAAACCAAAACTACTCAAACCGTGGTAAAACCAAAACCAATGTAATTGCCTGATTGCTTTCAAAATTCAATCGAAAACGGCTCTAACAACTACAACATCAGCAACAACAACAACATCGAAAAACTTGGCTATGACAGTCAAATGGCGCTATCATTGGCCCAGCAGGGAGCTCCCATATGGAAAGGTCGCGGACGCATGTCGTCTCTCTTAGGGGTATAAATCAAGGATTCAAGTCTCACTTAGGGAGTTCGTGACGAAACGGCACCGTTTTTAGCTGTCAATATATCTTTTAGGGTGCACTCGAAGAAAGAATTAAAAAACACTGTCATTTCCGTTTTTTTGAAAGGCGAATCTTTTAGGGGTCAAATAAACCTCGAGCCACGCTCAGCTTGGTCTCTTTTAGGGGTTTAATTCAAATTTTCTGATGAGCATCCTCGACCTTTTCATATGGGAGTGAGTCTCCCCCGGGATTTTTGGTAAAAAAGGTACTGTGATTATAAATTAAAGTACCTTCATTCAGAAGCGAAATTGTTGAAATGCAAGCTTTCCAAGGCACAAAAGCAGAATTTAAAAACATCAGGCGAACTTTTTCAAATTGAGATCAAAATCTCATGTTGCATAACACACGTAACCTCTTTATAGATTCAGTGCACTGGTATAGTAATTTCTTTAACAAAGCTAGACCATTTGGGTACAGTAAATACAGAATCGTACCTTTTTTGGCATGCTTCCGCGGAATATCAGCCTCGTTTGGTCTCGGCATTGGTAGTTTTGCTCGTGTGTGTCTCACCAAAATACGAAGCATGGTTCGACCAAACTCTCTTGATAAATATGCCGCTGAAGCGTACCACAAAGATACGATTAGGTATTTGATCCAAATTAGTCAAACTCATTAGTAATTTATCAAGTTTAAAGGAAGGAAATCATGACTGTAACGGTGTTTGGATATCTGTTTTTAATTAGGATAGATTTTTACGATTTTGTTTCTCTGTTTTCTTCTTAGTTTTAGTTTCGATTGAGAAGATATATCAAACACTCAAGACAGCGTTTGACACATTTCCAAACATCTCAAAGTTCGTCAAAAATACTCCGCTGCGCGTCGTCTTTTCAACTTTCTTCTCGGTGTTTGGAAATGTGGTCAAACACGGTCCTCCGTGTTTGATATATTACTTCTAAATCATTCACGATTAGTTATTTTGAGTAACTAACGAAAATTGAATAAATACGAGAATGCATAATAATAAATACTGAAGGGAAGATGAAGATAATGTCCGCTAACTTTTTTAAACTTTGCATGTAATTTTTAATTTCGTTTTTTTCTTTCACTCTCGTAGGTAATTAAGTGTTAAACATGCAATACGTTTTTAATTATTGATTGCTTCTGGCCGTTTCTGTTCATTTTATTTCGTTTTTTAGGATGGACATGAAATTTGTTTTGTTGGTGATGAAGCGTTTAGAGAGTTATCAAAAGTTGATCCTGAAGGGGACAGCCTGCTGAATACTGTGAGTATATTCACCATTAAAATCCATCAAATATTTTCGCTTGCGCGCGCTTGGTCTAAACACGTCACGTGACCGAATATTCCCCAGATGAAACTGGGTAATATCCGAGAATATTCCCCAATTTTCAAAACTACGCGCGTTGCGAAAAAGATTTGAAGAATAATAAACACAATAGCCTCCATTTTGGGCGAAAATATGCTCGGATATTTGTCCTTGGACATTATCTGTTCCTCGAAGCTCACAGTTTTCCCCGAGTTTGACTCTCAAAAAAATGTTTGCTTCTCGGAACAGATAATATCCATGCATATTTCCACGCCACTAGTGGAGGCTATTGCTCCAGTGAGTGAGCCTGAAGCGAACGAACGAGGCAGCTCTCTAATCGGGAAAAGGTCACATTGTAGGGGCCTTGAACACGTTTTTGCGAAGCGCAAGGAATTGTGGTAGCGGTAAGATCAAAGGCGCAAGGAATTGTAGTTATGCGCGAATGGCAAAATTAAGATGCACAGTCTGATTTTATGCTCTCTCTCTCTTGCATCTTTTCTTTGTAAACTTAGTCTTTTCTGTATTAGGCAGCTCTCTATGAGATGCACTGTTTCCCATGTGCTCTCTTCGATCGATGAAAACAAGGATGGAAACTATCGCGAACAACAGGAACATCAGTCCAGGATATCCAACAGATCACTCTTGCCGAGTCTCCTCTAATTCTAACAGAAGTCATCTGGAAAATTACAGAAAACGAAGCCGGAAGTTAGAGATAGAGAACCCAGTCAGTTCAAACTTTTATCGTTAGCTTACCATAAGTGTTAAAGCTCTCAAAACTATAAGTGTAGAAGTAAACCAGTTGTATCATAAAAATTCCTGTTTTTCGGCCATTTCAATTTCAGGAGAAAGAGAAAACCAACAGTGGGAACAAACATAATAAATAGATTACGCATGGTATATTCAACTTGACGTTTCGTATGTTACAACACACATCTTCAGAAGTGATGGTTACAAAATATGACAAAATTTAAAAAGGCTAAAACTGGGGTATCTAAAAGATACGGCAGCACATTTTGTTGGTAGTGACATATTTTACGCGGTGATTCATCTACAACTTCATGCATGATGACGCATCAATGGCGAGGTGTGACAAGGGATCGTGACAAAAAAGTAGATAGTGATCTGAACTATGTTTGGAAATAAAAAGATACACATCAACCTCCCCTTTACCAGATGGCGAAAATCGAAAGATGTGAAAATTGTAGGAGCAGAAATCTAACTTATAAATTCTGTACTGGTACGCATTAAATTAAATGTCTCTAGAATGTTGACAGACTGTGTTCGAGGACACGACCATTACGATGCGTGAAAATGCTAAAGCTTTAGCTTAACTTCATGTTTGGATTCGTGTTTTACAATTTTCGTTTGTTTTAATTATTTTACAAGCTTTAGTAACGACGATTTCTCTTCATTTAAGAATTCGACCAAGGAGGGGAGACTACTAAGAAATGAAATACTAAGTTTAAAATTAAGATGTCACAATTAATCGTCCAGATGTTTCACATCCTGCATTAGGACAAAAGCAGGAGTTGTGAAAGTCAAGCACGATCTCCTTCACATCGTTTNCATATGATTTACTCTTGCAGCAACCAATGAGATGAGACAGATAATCACATTTTGCTCTGTGTTGAATTTCAGTTACTTGTACATGTAGGTAAATAGATATGATTGGGGTGAGCTTCATGCAGGGGTGCCATGTAAAATTGGTTAGATATCAAAGTTTAAAACTTCCTTTCAGACAACTAGTGTATTGTAGTGAATGAGAATTATATGTCTACAGGGAGTACAATATAATATTATTAATATTTGTTAATGAATTAATCTATTACAGTCCTTATGATGGCAAGTGGAGTAAAACAATGGCTGGCTTTGGACCAGAAGATGATCACTTTGTTGTTGAACTGACATATAACTATGGTATTAAAGAATATCAACTAGGAAATGATTTTCAGGTGATCACCCATTTTATTAATTTCATTTCATGACATCTGATACAGAACTTTCCCGAATAAGTGTCTTCAGTATTAAACAAGGTGAGATTAGTGCGCTGGACCCTGCATCAAGCGGTCTGGGTTCAGGGTTATTTCCAATAATGTCCCTATCCAGCCTGGTATGTGAATGGGTATTGGCAAGTTTATATGCTGTGGGTAATGCTGCAGTGGACTAGAATCCCATCCACTGAGTAAGGAGTAAAAGATGAAATACTTCTAGTTGAACATTGAACTTTGATGTTAATAAATATGACAGAGCTTTTCCTTTTGTGTTTCCATTATAATTTGACTAGTCTGATTGGCTGTGTTGATGGTTGCCATGGTAACTTGGTTAAAGCTGCCTTGCATTAGTGATCCCTTAAGAGTGTGGGTCTTACAGCGTATCAGTGACAAGTGAATGAACAAATTGCTCTTGTCTTGTCTTTCTTTCAGGAATATGCATGGCTTTGCACACAGGTGTGCAGGGTTTCTGTTTCTTATGTCAGCAGTATCCTATGCTCAAAATGCATGCAAAGAGCTTTACATGTACCTACATAGCCCTCTATGCTCATGGTAACCGCTGTACTTACTCCATGTCTACATCATGATGCTAAGTAATAATTATATTTCACTGTGTTTTTATTTTCCATAGGGTCTTACAGTGCACTCCAAGACTGCAGTAGCTAATGCAAAACAACACAACTATCCAGTAACAGAGCAAGGAGATGGCTGCATCACTGTCAAAGCCCCTGATGGATACAAGTTTACACTGGTGGACCAGGATGTGACTGGAGGTAACAAACGTTCCTTCGTAACTAATAAATCATTGCTTATGTGAAAAACAATGTCTGGCAGGCATACAATTTACATGGAGAGCTTTTGCATGCCATTTTATGCATTGCAGACCTCACCTACATATGGTACTAATTTACCTTGATTACTAATGCTATGTATAGCTATGGACTTTACTGTACTACTATTACCACTTAACTTTTTTTATTTGCAACTTCCTTGTTGGTTCTGTTTTATTGCATGACCTATCCAAAAAGAAGTATTGAGGTGTGTCCCCTGGATGCCATGTCTGACAACTTCATGTATTTAAATTAGTCAATGGAATGGAACACTCATGGAAATATAGGATTTCTGCAAAGGCCACAAGTTTTTGAAAAAACTCAGAAACTATTGACCAGACAGGAGTTGTTTGCATCTATCGTAACAAAACAAAACGCTACAAAATTTGCTTGTGGGTGACATTTTCTCTTCCCATCACCACGGTGACTCAACAAGGTGACCTGAAGTTCTTGAAAAATAAGCTGACCAAATAACAAGGAAAGCAGCCTGGCTATGATAATGTGAAACTTGGATACAAAGAAAAACAATCCACAAGTCTAAAAAATGTCAAATAATCTACAGTCTGGATTACTCCACAAATGGAATAATCGTACTGATCACATAAGGTGTGTGCATAGGACATAAACAAAATACGACTCTGCATCACAACTGATATGGGCTCATATTTTGTATGTTCTCTTGGAATAGTGGGATAATAACCTGTAACATATTCTTATTCCAGAGTAAGGTCAATCTGAGTCACCTGTAATATCCTCTACAATGTCGTAATTTTGTTGGGTGTTTTTTTCTCCCAGATCCAGTCAAAAAAGTTTCTCTTGGAGTCTCAGACGTTGCCAAATCTTTAGTGTACTGGCAGAACTTATTAGGCATGACAGTGTATGAGCAGTCAGAGACTGAAGCATTACTGGGCTATGACTCGGATAAGTGTAAACTTGAGCTGATTCATCTTGGATGCCCAGTGGATCATGCAACAGCGTTTGGACGAATTGCTTTCTCGTGTCCCGGCAACCAGTTACCGGCCATTGAACATTCAGTCAAGGAAGCTGGTCACACAATCTTAACACCACTTGTTAGTTTAGACACCCCAGGAAAGGCTACAGTGCAAGTTGTCATCTTAACTGATCCGGTAAGTAGTCAAGTAACTATAGAGCGGTTTTCAATTGAGTGTTTTAAAACCAAAACCAAAACTACTCAAACCGTGGTAAAACCAAAACCAATGTAATTGCCTGATTGCTTTCAAAATTCAATCGAAAACGGCTCTAACAACTACAACATCAGCAACAACAACAACATCGAAAAACTTGGCTATGACAGTCAAATGGCGCTATCATTGGCCCAGCAGGGAGCTCCCATATGGAAAGGTCGCGGACGCATGTCGTCTCTCTTAGGGGTATAAATCAAGGATTCAAGTCTCACTTAGGGAGTTCGTGACGAAACGGCACCGTTTTTAGCTGTCAATATATCTTTTAGGGTGCACTCGAAGAAAGAATTAAAAAACACTGTCATTTCCGTTTTTTTGAAAGGCGAATCTTTTAGGGGTCAAATAAACCTCGAGCCACGCTCAGCTTGGTCTCTTTTAGGGGTTTAATTCAAATTTTCTGATGAGCATCCTCGACCTTTTCATATGGGAGTGAGTCTCCCCCGGGATTTTTGGTAAAAAAGGTACTGTGATTATAAATTAAAGTACCTTCATTCAGAAGCGAAATTGTTGAAATGCAAGCTTTCCAAGGCACAAAAGCAGAATTTAAAAACATCAGGCGAACTTTTTCAAATTGAGATCAAAATCTCATGTTGCATAACACACGTAACCTCTTTATAGATTCAGTGCACTGGTATAGTAATTTCTTTAACAAAGCTAGACCATTTGGGTACAGTAAATACAGAATCGTACCTTTTTTGGCATGCTTCCGCGGAATATCAGCCTCGTTTGGTCTCGGCATTGGTAGTTTTGCTCGTGTGTGTCTCACCAAAATACGAAGCATGGTTCGACCAAACTCTCTTGATAAATATGCCGCTGAAGCGTACCACAAAGATACGATTAGGTATTTGATCCAAATTAGTCAAACTCATTAGTAATTTATCAAGTTTAAAGGAAGGAAATCATGACTGTAACGGTGTTTGGATATCTGTTTTTAATTAGGATAGATTTTTACGATTTTGTTTCTCTGTTTTCTTCTTAGTTTTAGTTTCGATTGAGAAGATATATCAAACACTCAAGACAGCGTTTGACACATTTCCAAACATCTCAAAGTTCGTCAAAAATACTCCGCTGCGCGTCGTCTTTTCAACTTTCTTCTCGGTGTTTGGAAATGTGGTCAAACACGGTCCTCCGTGTTTGATATATTACTTCTAAATCATTCACGATTAGTTATTTTGAGTAACTAACGAAAATTGAACAAATACGAGAATGCATAATTAATAATAAATACTGAAGGGAAGATGAAGATAATGTCCGCTAACTTTTTTAAACTTTGCATGTAATTTTTAATTTCGTTTTTTTCTTTCACTCTCGTAGGTAATTAAGTGTTAAACATGCAATACGTTTTTAATTATTGATTGCTTCTGGCCGTTTCTGTTCATTTTATTTCGTTTTTTAGGATGGACATGAAATTTGTTTTGTTGGTGATGAAGCGTTTAGAGAGTTATCAAAAGTTGATCCTGAAGGGGACAGCCTGCTGAATACTGTGAGTATATTCACCATTAAAATCCATCAAATATTTTCGCTTGCGCGCGCTTGGTCTAAACACGTCACGTGACCGAATATTCCCCAGATGAAACTGGGTAATATCCGAGAATATTCCCCAATTTTCAAAACTACGCGCGTTGCGAAAAAGATTTGAAGAATAATAAACACAATAGCCTCCATTTTGGGCGAAAATATGCTCGGATATTTGTCCTTGGACATTATCTGTTCCTTGAAGCTCACAGTTTTCCKMGAGCKWMGCTCKMGGAAAACTGTTCACTTCTCGGAACAGATAATGTCCGCGGACAAATATCCGAGCATATTTTCGCGCCAAATGGAGGCTATTGTTTATATATTCACGAGCCTGAGGCGAATAATTGTTTTAGTATAATTACTTTGGTGATTATAGAAATACCTAAACAAAGGATCGAACGAAAAATGTTAAATTTTATATTTCATTGTCACGCGTCAATGGACAATTACGCGAACAGATCACATGGTTTAATACATCACATGGTCAAAACGGCAAGTGTTTTTCGCACGTTTTAAAACGTTCTGCCTCTAAGAAAAATCCATCAAATATTTTCGCTCGCGCGCTATTGGTCTAAACGCGTCACGTGACCGAATATGCCCCAGCTAAAACTGGGGTATATCCGAGTGATATTCCCCAATATACAAAACTGCACGTGTTGCGAAAAATATTTAAAGGATAATAAACACAATAGCCTCCATTTGGCGCGAAAATATTTACGTTTATCCGTTTTTCGAAGCTCGCAGTTTTCCTCGAGCCACGCTCTCGGAAAACTGGTCGCTTCTCGGAACATATAATGTCTGCGGCAAATACTGAGCATATTTTCGCGCCAAATGGAGGCTATTGTTCATATAACAGCTTATTTGATGGCCTGGTAGAAATACCCGCGTATAAATAAAACGGGTTATCAGTACAGGCATGTAAACTTTGCCTTTCTTTCCTGAGCCCCGCACACACTCTGTAGAAGTGAGTATGTAGTAGCAGCTCGTCAAAAATCTGTGACAAACTTGTTTTTGAAGCGGTTCTTGCACTCAATTTCCTTTCACCCCTGTGAAGTAACACGTACATGAGAAAATACATGTGGCAAATATTTCACACGACGGAGTAGCATAGGTGGGAAATATGACGTAAAACCCTAAAATATCAGTTTCTCTAGAAGTATTCCATTTTTAATCATTTCGTAAAGTTCTTAAGGTTACCAAAGATTCTCCGAGGATTTTCCAAAGGCGTTCGAAGGATTTCATAGTTTACGTACGGTCATTTCTGAAAATACACAAACGTTTCGAAGCGATTTCTAAAGATCCCTTTGCCGATCCGTGCAATAACCAATCGGATATTACATCAAATTTTTTTCCTTCTCCTTTTAAAGAAACTATGGTACGGACGCCAACACATCTGGAAAATTTCAATCCCGGTTTCAGTCTCTTTGAATCATAACTATCCTTGAACCTCAATTGTTGGTTTATTGTCAGCTGTATATTTAATGCATCACCTATTTGATGTACGTTAGTAAACTAGTATTTCGCAGGAACTCTCCTTCGATTTGAAACTGTTTTTCTATGCATCACAAAACTGATGTGAATTTATATTATGACCAGTGGCGGATCCAGACCTTGAGCTAAGGGAAGGGGTGCGGGGGGCGGTTTTGTTTTGCTTGCTTTTCTTCCTTCTGTGATTTTTTTCTTTTTTTTTACCCAAAGTAAGGGGGAGTCGGGCCCCTCCCCTAGATCTGCCACTGAGATTGACATTGCACTTACAAAAAAGTGAAATGCTGAGCATATGATGGTATAAACTTAGCTTAGCTTAGCCTAGTAAATAGAGAAACTGTGTCTCGGATTTAAGCTAAATTTAGACACAACAAGATGGCCACCAAATTGAGTGAAATATAAAAATAACAACTTCAAGTTAAAACAGTGAAGGAACTTCTCAATTACATAACAAATACAAAATAACGTTGAAGAAAGTAAAACGGATTGAGATATGACAGATATGGGTTTTACTTTTTGAAAAACTGTTAGGCCGAACAGTTTTCAAAATTAATCTCTGTTATTTGTTAATCATATGAATGCGAGTGCAGTTAGAGATTTACAATAGGAGTGATATTCAAAAATTCTCTCAAAATTGCACGAGCCTTTAGCCTTTATTTACATTCCTTCTTTTAACTTTTTTGCAAAATACACGCACCGGCTTCCGAGCTTCATTTGTAAGACATATAAATATCCAGTGGAACCCCGTTAATCTGGTCACCATCGCACCTCAGTCAAAAATGTGGCCGTATTGCATGTAACGGGTTGGCCGTATTAAAGGCGTTGTTTGAATCAAAAAATAACTGACTGAGGTTTTGTTCGGGCCAGAATAAAGTGGCCGTAATAACGAGGTGGCCCTAAGGCGGGATTTCACTGTAGTTTTTTTAATAAAGATGTTTTCGTGTTGTTTTTTTCTCAGGCAATGGCCGAGGATAAGAGTGATGAATGGTTTTCCCAGGTTAAAGTTACTTCACACAAGAAGTGGACACTGTGAAGAAATAATGTTAAAATCAATGTAGCTTAAACAAAGGAATAATTTTAGGGGCAGTAAATGCCTTTTATTGTTCAGTCACAGCAGTTGCTGACTAACTTAGTTGTCAATTTAGTCAATCGCGAGAGGGAAAAGCAGAAGACGTTCTGTTCCAAATGAANCTCCCCTAGATCTGCCACTGAGATTGACATTGCACTTACAAAAAAGTGAAATGCTGAGCATATGATGGTATAAACTTAGCTTAGCTTAGCCTAGTAAATAGAGAAACTGTGTCTCGGATTTAAGCTAAATTTAGACACAACAAGATGGCCACCAAATTGAGTGAAATATAAAAATAACAACTTCAAGTTAAAACAGTGAAGGAACTTCTCAATTACATAACAAATACAAAATAACGTTGAAGAAAGTAAAACGGATTGAGATATGACAGATATGGGTTTTACTTTTTGAAAAACTGTTAGGCCGAACAGTTTTCAAAATTAATCTCTGTTATTTGTTAATCATATGAATGCGAGTGCAGTTAGAGATTTACAATAGGAGTGATATTCAAAAATTCTCTCAAAATTGCACGAGCCTTTAGCCTTTATTTACATTCCTTCTTTTAACTTTTTTGCAAAATACACGCACCGGCTTCCGAGCTTCATTTGTAAGACATATAAATATCCAGTGGAACCCCGTTAATCTGGTCACCATCGCACCTCAGTCAAAAATGTGGCCGTATTGCATGTAACGGGTTGGCCGTATTAAAGGCGTTGTTTGAATCAAAAAATAACTGACTGAGGTTTTGTTCGGGCCAGAATAAAGTGGCCGTAATAACGAGGTGGCCCTAAGGCGGGATTTCACTGTAGTTTTTTTAATAAAGATGTTTTCGTGTTGTTTTTTTCTCAGGCAATGGCCGAGGATAAGAGTGATGAATGGTTTTCCCAGGTTAAAGTTACTTCACACAAGAAGTGGACACTGTGAAGAAATAATGTTAAAATCAATGTAGCTTAAACAAAGGAATAATTTTAGGGGCAGTAAATGCCTTTTATTGTTCAGTCACAGCAGTTGCTGACTAACTTAGTTGTCAATTTAGTCAATCGCGAGAGGGAAAAGCAGAAGACGTTCTGTTCCAAATGAATGTCGAAAACATAGAGAGTTGCGCACTTGTTTTTTAAAGAAACTTGCATATAATCATACATTTAGGCTAGGCTGTAAAGGACTGGGGAGAAGTACGCGCAGACTACGATAGCCAATCAGTGCGTACAAAAACCTGGCTTTCTGGTGTCAAAGCGAAATTTAGTCTAGTTACATGTATTTTAGAATAGCAATAACCAAGTCAAAATTAGCCGGACAACTGTACTTCAAACGACTGAATGCTTAATAGGAAATTTCTTTTGTCCAGTTACTCGTAAAACTAAATTAAAAAAAAAAAAGAAATAAAAAAGAGAACATTCACAATTTTTATATAAGCACATAGATAAGTGAGTAGTTTTTAATATTTGCCATTTTCTGGAAAACCTTTTAGCTATGTTTATTTAATCAAATATTTAAAGAGAACGTACGCGTTATATAGCTAATGTGTGTTTTAATAATTTCTTATATATGCAGTCTGTTTAGCAGAATAAATATGAATTCTAGTCGAGTGAAATCGTGTGTGACGAAGAATTTAAACAAGTAATGAGGCTCATCATAAATAATTTATCCCGAACCCTGTCAGGCCCTGTTTACAAGCAGGTAAGGTAACCCTCGTGTTAGGGTACCCTAACAACAGGGTCAAAGATAGCCCGCGTTTTATGCAAGCAAAATTTTTCAGGTAGGGTTACCCTACTACCCGGGACAACTCTGGCTGGTCACGTTTTAGTTAACCTGGTAAACAATACACGCAATCGATAATAATTTCATTGCCAAAACCTATTTTCACTTGAATTACGTAGTTTATCGCTTCCGCTGAAATCTATTCAATTTCTAAGCTCACTTGAAATTCAGGACGGTAACTTTTCTTTAGTGTGGGATAAATTTGAGAGCAAAACTATAAACAATTCTGCAATCGAATATTTTAGCAACAGTAGCGACAAACATTGCGAATTAACAAATTGACGTCTGTTTTTCATGCGTCTGTCCTGTTATATATCATGAATTTCGTCATAACATTGTCAAATTGTCCGCTCTGTTCGTTGCCGCGTCCTATAAATTACAAATTCATCTGTCTGTCTGCTTACTGGCAATGAAAATTAGCCAATGAGCGCGAGAGAATTTCTGTAATTATCGTAAAAAATTTCATCGCAAAAAGCCATTATTCAAAATCACTATTCGTTTGTTTTGCCGGTTTGATTTTTCATCGTATTTTGATTCTTGGGGCCCAAATAAAGTTGTAGACGAGTTGTCCCAAGGTCTGTCCCGATTGTGCTTGGTAACTTTGGAGCAACTTTTGGCCTTTGGAGCAACAACAACCTCGAGCAATTTTTGCCTTTCTGAGCAACTTTTTGAGCAAAATATAGGTTTAGAGCACATATCAAACACGAAAAAGTCAACGATTTCAAAGAAAACTTCAATAATTATTTATGCGAATTTCTTGAATGTTTATCAACTGTTTGAAGTTTGAACACATAACCTGCTTCTTGACGTTTGGCAAGACGTCAAATAAACCATGTGTTTTGTTCCGTTAGTATCCTTAAATTTCGCCTATATTTGTGAGCAACTCTTTAAAGCTAAGTTTCAAGCTATTTTTCTAGACTGATGTTAGCAATTATTGTGAGGAAATATCGGTAAAATATAAAAAAGATATATGTATATAAAATATCAAGAGATTTAGGTAGCAACTTTTGAAATTTAGGTAGCAACGTTTTGGATTTTTGGCAACTTTTTTAGCAACTTTTTGGCATTCCAGTGAGCAACTTTCCAGCATTTTACGAGCACAATCGGGGTACGTCTAGTTGTCCCTAGCAGAGCGTTTACAAGGCATTTATGCATGGAGGTTTACCGTGGCGCTGAGGTAACCTGTGGGGAAGAAGTATATCTTCGGAATCTTACATGCAGTGAGACTCAGAATGGTCAGCGGAAAAGAAACAGCATGGCGGAAGTAACGGGGGAAAATAAGGAAACGAGTTTAACCCGTGTTTCTGCCAAGAGCAGCAACAGAAGAAGATTTGTTGGAACTAAGTCCCATCCTGGTCAGAAAACAGACAAACTTGCAGGTAAATTTTGATTTTTTTCCCCTAGAAACCCCGTACGTGCATATAGTCACGATTCTCACGTCATTGACATGGAGGTCATGTTAACTTAATAATTGTAAAACCTAAACCTTTACATATATGAAATGTAAACAGTTGAAATGGTGAAAGTATTAGAATTTAATGTTGAAAATTAAAGGGACAACAGGCCCACGTAGTCTCATCTCACATCCTGATGTACTATTAAAGAAGATGTTTCCATATGGGCATTGGGACATTCCATTTTTTTATTCGCACCCCTCACCCCCACCATGTTATCATCTGATCTGCTGTTTCTTTTTTTCCTTTGGAAACTACTATCGTTGTTCAGAGGTTGGTGCAAATTCCCGACGAGTTGTGCGACAAATTCCCGATGAGATACTTCACAATTCAGAGCTACAGGATGCTGTTAGGCAGGTGAAGAATATTTGGAGCATTTCCTTTGCTTATAATTTTTTTAAACCAAGTGGAAATTTACATGGTTTTGGTACCTCTTAGGGTGTTCAGTCTCAAAAGGTCCACAGCGGGAGCTTTTGCAGTACAAAAAGCTCCTCTTAGGGTGTTGAACTAAAAAAAATATGACGTGAGATAATGTGTTGTTTTAGNTGGGTGAGGCCTATAGTTGTAGTTCTAATTTATTTGTGTTATTCACCAGGGGTGGCCTAGAAAATCTTGGGTCCCTGAAAGTTTTGATTTAATCTTGAAATCTTGGAAGGGGTGGAAAATAATACCTAGAAAGTCTTTGGTCTCTGAAACTTGATTTGATCTCAAAATTTTGGAAGCATTTAAGTAAGTAAGTAAGTTTATTGTGTATATACACTTAGCTTTTGTGAGAAAACTCACCAGCTAGTTTGCAGGCATAACACAGAAAGCCAAAATAAAAGAACTAAAATTGAGAAAATACCTTCAACAAATAACTAAGAGGATATAAGTGTAAAATTTAAGATTGAAATCTATTTACATAGGTTGGACTAGATAGAACTTGTTCATAAAATTAGTCGTGAAGATTTATTTTTCTGTGTTTCTTTCATATCACAGTCTAAAATTGCTTGTCTTGAGCAGTCTCAGATTTTTAAACAAGGGTCTTGGTGTCTCGGTTAGTCTCAGATTTTTCCATTCATCACTCTATATGGGAATGACTGGTATGATGATGTAATATGAATTGCAGCAAATTCAAACAGTCCTCCCACATGGAAGGAATGACTCTGGTCATCTGATTGAATACATGTACAAACTGATGAGGAAATTACTACTGAGTTGCAAACTTATTCTTACAAAGTCTTGGTATGGGTTTGTTGGATATAAAATGCAAAATTTAACATTTTTTTGTGTGTGTGTTTAACAGTTGACATAGACATATAGCAATTTTTCCTGGACAATTCTGTCCCAGGGGGAAAGGTGCTATGAGATAAACCCCACGTGAAGCGCCAACCTGTGAGACAAGGCCAGACCACAACACTGAGAACTTCGTGCCCTACTCTTTGCGTTAAGTTTGTGGGTTCTTTAACATCCCCTGCTAACCACTGCCCATGTAACACTGAAGATGCAGGAGATGGGGCCGTCGATTTATAGTCCTTATCCGAGAATACTAGTTAGAATAGGTACATGTATGTAGTACCCTTAGTGCTCCTACTAGGGATAAGACAAGGTGTAAGCTAGCATTAGATAAAAATGTAATAAATAGTATAGTTAAAAATATTTTTTTCTCTCTTCACAGTTCCAATTGACTCTACAAAAGGAATCAAGATGTTATATGTATTTGTGGACATCAAACTGGATGCCAGCCATTTCGTAGACACAGTCAGGTATAACTTTGAAGCTGGGACATCATTGGCGATAGTGAGCACGATACAATTTGTGGCAACTCTTCAGGTATGTCAACTGTTAGATTTGATTGTATGAATTGGTTGTTTAACATTTTAGAAAATTGGTGGCTATGAATTCCTTCTGGCATTTTGGAATGAAAATCAAACTGTATTCACACAAGTTGAAATTTTGTGTTGCTCCAGAAAAATATCCATACCCTGCCCATGAAGGGTTATTGGGTTTGAAAACCCCACCCNTACATTACACTGACATTACTTGCCAAAAATTTTAATTTCGAGCCCAAAAAGTGTCCGAAAATAAAATCGTTGGAAATTTTCAAGCGTCTGAGATATTAACAGAACAATGTAAAACTTCGAAGTAGTTCCAAAGTGCTAAGTTTCCTTTATGCCGGGATTTATGGAGTGGACTCTAGTTGAGACACGACTTGACATACGTAGCGGCTTGATAGAATTTGTGTTATTTTCTTGTCGGTTTATCTGTAAAACCTTGACAGTGCAGTAAAACTAACATCTTTTGATGTTTTTTCAGTCTAATTCGTGTTTTGTATCCGTAAATTTGCGGTAGCTAAGTGTCCTAAATTTTTGTCTGAAATTTGTCCGAAATGAGATAAAAAGTGTCCGAAAATAAAACGTCCAACATTTTGTGCAAGTAATGTAGGTCATACATTTATCGTGAGGTTCCCAAGCTTTGTGACCTGCAAATTTCCATTTTCTGTGGCCTGCTGACCCAGATGTTAGGTTATTGAAGCCACTGACCAGTATTCTTCATCGTTTTAGTTATCTTGGAGATGGAAGGTTTCATCTGGAAGCTGTAATGATTGCTAACCCGTCTATACCAGCGTACAGGTACGAAACTTAAAAATAGTCAAGGAGTAGTGCCATGCCACATTTGGTTGCTCCAGATGGTATTTCTTTAAAAAAAAAAAAAAAAAAAAAGAATTCAAGATAAATTATTCTAACTCATATCTTCAATTTAAAAGTACAAGAGGTAGAATTTTCTGATGACATCTCAATGAACAAATGAACAAAGATGACTCTTAAAATAGTCAGTAGCTTAGCAGTGTGCGGTTGTTAACAAAATGATGGTCGCCTCTTTGCGTTTTCGAAGTGTCTGTGAAGAGGATTTAGATAAGTGTTTGAACAACTAGTATATGTTTACACTAAAACAATTAGATTATTCGCTCTCGATTTCTATGCAAGATGGAAATCTCGAGGTCATAATATAATATAAAGTATAGCCGTGTACTGTCGAATCGCTAGGGAAGTCCGGCCTGTAATTACTGTGTATTGCAAAGAATTGGTTGGGAGGGAGGGGGGAGGGGAAGGGGAAGGGGGAGGCGGAGGCGAAGGGGAAGGGGGAGGCGGGAGGGAGGGTTGCTGGACTAGCATTCCATCAAGTAACAATAACAATACTCCTGCAATGGTCTATCCATGCTACAGACTGAAAAAGGAATGATGAAGAACCCAAGGCTTGTTTGGCTTGTCAACAGAACGTTGTGTCATTCACAGGGTTGCCAGAGGTTAGGAAATGGCCAGGGAAAAATAAAATTCTTCAAGGTCAGGGAAAAGTCTGGGAATTTTATTCTGAGGCAGGAAAATCGACATTTTGAAGAAAAGTCAGGGGTAATTGAAATAATTTAATACGGCTGATTTAATACCATTGAAGGCTGGAAGAAACATTTGGGGTCACTTTCCTAAAAGAAGAAGGAAAATTTGTTGAAAACTCATCCGTCTTAATGAACGAGTAGAAATTAGGGCGGCTGTACGTTCACGCTAGAAGCCGCTACTATATCTGACATTTTGTGTTTTTTTGATCAGGGAAATTTTAATATTTTTATCAGGGACAAGTCAGGGAATTTTGAAAAGGATGTCTGCGGCAACCATGCATTCATCATTGCATGATAATGTTTATTCCCGTTTCACAGGTACGATCCATACAGTAAAGTATTTTCCAGAGAATATTACGATATTGAAGCCATGTTTAAAGCTAGAAAAGAAGCCATAAGTACCGCATCAAAGGCCAGGAAATTTGGACTTATTCTCAGCACATTAGGGAGACAAGGGAGTCCAAAGGTGTTAGAGGTACAGTAGTGACCAGTAGTTCCTTTATTTTAAGAGGCTTTGTGGTTATGTTTTGCAAATATTCTGTTTGTTTAAGTTTTTCATATGTGAAGTTTTTACACCTAATCGTACTTTTTTTGTACACTTCGGCAGCATATCGGGCGAGTTTCTTCGAGCCCTGGTTCGTATTTTGGCGAGACCACACGAGTCTGATATGCCGCCGAAGTGTACCAAAAAGGTACGATTAGGTATTTACTGTACCGAAATTTTCGGTCAAGTGATTATGATATCGCAGCCGCATCAAGTCAGTGACTTGATATCGCAAGATATCAGGACAGTAGACGCGGCTTCTGATTGGCTAATTGCGAATTTGGGTTACGTAAAAGATTAAATTACATTTTAAGTAGCTACAACCTCTGGGCGTATTGCTCGCCAACTTAAACTGGAATAAAATATTATTAACAGAAAATGTACCGATGTCAATAAATGTGTTTCCGGAAAAGTGCGTATTTCAAATGAACTCGCGCATGTTTAATACGAATTGAATGGGGCAATTTTCAAAAATAAAGCACATTAAGGGGAATGAAATGGCAATGTTTCTCCGTAAAGGAATTTAATGTGAATGTTAAAAAGAAAGTACTTTTTGCGATGAAAACAGAGACAGGGTCAGAGCGCTTATTATGGAGGTGTTAAGAAGCCTACAAGAATAAAGATTAACTTGTTAACTTTTTAACGTTTGAAACCCCTAAACAAAGAAGGCATTTCTAACTAAATTATTTATTATACGATTGTCATTTTCAGAATTTGGAACAGAGGTTTATCAAGGCAGGACTTGAGTATGTGATTGTGTTGATGTCTGAAATTTTCCCGGATAAACTTCGTTTGTTTGAAGATGTTGATGCGTAAGTTTCTTTTAGTGTTGAATTGTCGAATTATTTATCTACATAGAGGACAGTTGCTGTTGATTCTTGCACTAGCCACAGTCGTAACAGAGATGAAGGTAATAGAGGACCATTTTTTCAGTCAGGAACACAATTGTAGTTTTCAGCGAATCTTCGTTGAGGTAGCCGAAGGTTTTGCGATTCTTCTTTTCCAATTGGGCAATAGCGCGAGTATTTGACCGATTTTACGTCGACTTAACGTCATGAGGTGAAGTTCGTAACTAGGTAACACTTTGATGAACACCCCGTCAGGGGTACTCAAGGGAACACAAGACAGAGAGGTGCTAATGTGTGTTTTGAGCCAGACAGCAAAACGCTTCATTGGCCTATTTCTTCAATTACAGTGTAGGTGCATTAGGCAAAGGTAACTATCTTTTCTGTTACTCTGACCAAACCCCTGTTATTTCCTTAATTACACAGCTCCTTCCCTGTGAAGTTACTTCTTTACCACTTAAATGTTTGTCGGTAGAATAGCTTTTCACAGAGCTGTTGCGCAATCATTTCGTATCCATTTATCAGAATTTCCTCTTGTTTACCAACCCGATCAAAGTGCAGAACCTAACAGTGCAACCTGTTCTACCAAGAGAAAATGAGGGGAAAATGAGTCGCTCATTTTCTCTTGGTGGTACTCATGAAAATAGTTATAGTTACGTAGCAGCTCAGTCACGGTATCTGGGTTATTTTGGCTATGTACAAAATTACCTTTAAATTGAAGAAAAACTGAAAAAAGTAGTTTACTAAGATAGAAAAACACCAAAGAGATAATAATAAACCATAAAGGAACAAGGATGGTTAAGGATAGAGACGATTAACACGGATTCCAAACGACGAACTTTTCAGGATGTGCAAACCGTGACGTAGCTCCTTAAGATAATCAAGCCATCGTTACTTAATGGAACTAATCTTCCATCTTATCATTTTAACAGATGGGTACAGGTGGCATGTCCACGACTGTCCATCGATTGGGGTTACGCTTTTCCTAAACCTCTCCTGTCACCTTACGAGGTAAATCAACCGTTTGTTTTTTTTAATTACTTTGCTCTCCGATTTTATAAGTTCAACTTACGATTAACGTCTCGTTACCAGCAATTACATTTTCGTAGCCCATTACTCACTGCCACTATGGGCACACCTTGACAGTGAGACCCAAGTAGGTGACTGGACGAGCAGTCGCCATCTTGGATTGCAGTTCATGTCTTAAGCTTGTTTCTGAGAAGCGCGTGACAGAAGGTGACGTGACGTTAATATGTTTATTGATTTTTCTTACTGACCAATCCAAATGTAAGTAGTAGGAAAAATTGTTATGTCGGCCGCTTGGGAAGATGACGACACTGGCGGTTGAAGTGGATGACTGACAGAGGTTCTTGTTTGCAGTCTGTTTCCGACAACAACTTGACGATTTATCTAGATCAAAGCTCAGCTTGTGGTACAAGTTGTGCTGCTACGAACTAAAGAAGGCTCAATGTTGACTTAAATAATCTGATTCGAATTTCACAAGTTGACGGTTTGAGTGTTTCGATGGAAAAAATTTGGAAAATCAGGCAAAGAATTCTCGCTTTTCAGGCGATGAAAGTGAAAATAAATTCTGCAGAGAATGAAAATACATTGTGGAAATGCATTGTACGTGTACTAGCAAATTCTCAGAAGGAAATCTGTAGCAATTTGTATTAAGGAGTACCCGCTCTGACTAAGAGTTTTATGTCGACCCAACAGGCGTCAGTTGTACTTGAAGA